GGGGGCAGGGCTGGCTGGCATGTGTTGCTGGGGGATTGAACCGTGGTCTCTGTGTTTTGCTTAGCTTAGCTTGTTCTAAGTAGGTGCCTTAGACCACTGAGCCATCTCACCAGCCCCCCTAAAGTATGTTTTTAAAAAAAGGAAAGAAAAGGAAAGAAAAAAGAAAGCAAACAGATGTGGAAAGAAAACCCTAGTGAGTCTTCTTTAATTGGTGAATCTTAGTGTAAGTGAAATTATTTGCTCCTTTCTAGAAACCTGATCTAAATTGCTTCCTAAACGTCAGTACAGATACCTACCATTTGAGGACCTTGCTAAAATGTAGATTTTGATTTAGGAAGTCTGGTGTGCTGAGTGTTTTTTCTTTTTTCTTTCTTTCTTTTTTTTTTTTTTCTTTTGGCACTAGGAATTGAATTCAGGACCTCTCACTTGCCAGACAGTTGCCAAATGCTGTGCCACTGAGCTATATCCCCAGCCTCAGAGTACATTTTTTTTTTTATTTGTTTTTTTACATTTCTAAAAAGTTCCTGGGTGATGAGGATGGTTCCTCGGGGTTCTACAAGATCTTATGTTAGCTATGACCCAGATTGGCTTTGGCAGGAAAAGGATGAATCAACCACACGTGTGATCTAAATGATCAGGGGAGACTTCAGGCCTGGGTGGATCTAGGGCTCACATGATGTCAGGAAATGGTCTTCAGCCCTTTTCGGGTCTGGTTTCTCTTGTGTTGGCTTCAGTCTCAAACAGGCTTTGCATGGATAGCAAGCAGAAACACCAAAGCAACACCAGGATTTGGAGGCAGATTTATTTACGTCAGTGGGCGCTGACTGGCCCTGATCTCTGGTGGTCTAGGGCTTTTATATGATGCACAAGCAAGAGGTACAAAGGTGAGACAGCACAGCCTGGAAGTTCTCCTGGGGAGCCACGAGGGTGAGATCATTGGTTACCAGAGTAGATTAATGACTGTTAGGTCATGAATTTTGTGCCATGGCACAACCACGCATTCTGCATGTTTGGTTACACTGTTGTGGTTACAGGGGCCAAAAAAGCAATTGCAAAGCCTTGAAGCAGTTATAGGGCTAGAAAGTTTCAAAAGAAAAATGTCTTTAAAATAATTTCTCTAGTATATTTTTTCCCTTTCAGAATCTGTTCCAAGCTTACATCCTCCCAACTTCCCAGGAGAGAACCCCTCCTTCTCCTAGTGCACGAAGCTGGCCCTGTGTCACATGACCAGTGGTCAGCCCTGGGGCACATGCCACCTCCAGAGCAGGGGTAGAGAAGTGCTTGGGGAAGGCTTTTTTTTTTTTTTTCAAAGTTTTATTGATAAACAGATAGCAATAACAGTTTCAAATCAAATCGGAAGTACAGTTTCAACAAATAATACACTGCATATATTCTTCTTAGTGGTTAATTGCTGTACAAGATGCAGACTTGTGATCCTATTTACAAACACCATTAGAACAAATCATTCTATTCATTAAGAGAATGCAACTATATATCTATCCCAACCACTTTGAATACACAGATACAAAATGGACATTCATAGTTATACCCCATTTTTTTTAAGTTCCGTTATTGAATATTATAGGTGTGTAAACTCAGCAAAATATTCTAAAAGAGTCCAGTAGCCCATAATAGCATTGGGTCTTCTGTTTAACTGGCAATGTCAGAAATTATTGACCTGAGTCTCCCCACAGCTCAACTTAACAGCATGGCTTTATTTCCTGTATTTCGTCTTCATACTTTTCTACTGGATGGTTAAGACCAAGGTAAAGCAGGACCTGTGCAACAAGAGTTGTAGCTTTTTGGTCTGAGAAGGTCAGTGAAATGCCCTCAGGATTTATCCTGAGATCCTGTACCTCAGATTGTAGAACCTTTGTCAGTGCAGCCATGTGGATGAGTCACGGCCAATGCTTGACCAATGTGCTCTCTGTGAAAGCCTGAGAGAGTGTCTTCTCCCCATGTGACTCTCCTTAGGCACACTCTACGTCATCGATCACTTTCCTCTTTGGCCCCATGGGGAAGCCTTTTTGTTGCACTTCCTAGTGCAGAGGTGTTAACATTATCCACAGGGATGAACGAGGCTGAGGGATGTGGGGACCCTAGTCCTCACCTCAGGAACCTCTTCCCTGCAGGGGAGCCTTCTCAGAGGTCATCCTGGCAGAGGATAAGAGGACCCAGAAGCTGGTGGCCATCAAATGCATCGCCAAGAAGGCCCTGGAGGGCAAAGAGGGCAGCATGGAAAATGAGATCGCTGTCTTGCACAAGTGCGTGAGCTATGGCCAGTCTGGCTCCAGGCTGAGCTGGCCTTAACCCCTCCTGCTAGTTCCCTTCCTCTGCTTTGGGCAAACCGTCAAAACTTTCTGGGCCTCACAGTCTCATTTATAAAACAGAGATAAGACCTTCCACTTGGCTAGAGTCTGGGGGAACAGTTAGAGGTCCTTTATTTTAAGAGTCTGGCACAGTAGCTAACGAGGGGGATTCAACTGAAGTGCCAGGATTTATTTCCAGAGGGCTGATCTGCTCAATCAGGTCCCAAAGTCAACCCTCAAGCATGGTTTGAACCCACACCCCGCAGCCACTGCTGCCTGTAGATCTGCTTTAGGTCACGCCCACACATTCATGCACTCCACAGGCTGAGAGCTGCATCTGCCGCCCGTGCTGCCCCCGACTGCAACCTCTTGCTTGCACTGGAAAGCTTGTAGAGAACCTTCACTTCTGGTCTCTTCCTGAGCTTCCCAGCTACCTTGGGCAGGAGAGAAGTGAAAGTGGGAAAGCAAGGCCCACACAGAGCCAGGGACTTGCTCAGAGCCACACAGGCGCTCCAAGGTCAATCACCTTTACTGGTATGACCACTGAGTGTACTCCAGGCAGTTCTGTGTTATCCCTGCTCTAGGAAGGAAGTCCTACCTCTCGCTGCATTTTAGATATGATGAAACTGAGGCAAAGAGTACATTTGGCTCAATGAGAGCTATTGTGCACCTATGCCGCACATATAGTGTGGAGACGGCGGTGAGAAGACAATCTCTGGACATGTGGCTGAACTTTAGGGGGGCAGGCTGAGAGCCCACTGTCCATCGGGGCTATTGTGCAAAAAGGCCAGCATACATAGCCTGTTCCAAAAGCCCCAAGTTTGCTTCTTTACTCTTTGCTGTCCAAGAAATTGTAATAAATCATATAAACCAGCTTTTCCTGGTGGGGCCAGACCCAAGTTTGTTACACCAGATGTATAGGCATATGTATAGCCGAGCTGTTCTGGTTTCTTGTTTCAGGATCAAGCATCCCAACATCGTGGCCCTGGATGACATCTATGAGAGTGGTGGCCACCTCTACCTTATCATGCAGTTGTGAGTGGCACTGCGCCCTGTCTCGTAGTTCCTGGTGCCACTGCTCCCTTGACCACACTGTCTGTCTCCTGCTGCAGGGTGTCAGGTGGGGAACTGTTTGACCGCATTGTAGAAAAAGGCTTCTACACAGAACGGGACGCCAGCCGCCTCATCTTCCAGGTGCTGGATGCCGTCAAGTACCTGCACGACCTGGGCATTGTACACCGTGATCTCAAGGTGGGGCTCATGGGTATGGAGAGCTGGGCCGCCTGGGGTAGGACTTCTGTAGCCCCTCACCCTGTCCTTGGAGCCAGGGCTTCCTGCCTGCAAAATGCACCTATGACCCTAAGCCACCTCTTTCCATTTCCGGTTAGGACTCCTACTGGTATTTTACCTAGGTAGTTGCTGTGTGCTTTTTTGACCATACAAGTCCCTACTTGCTCTTTGTAGAGAACTCAGTCAGGACAGCAAAGCATAAGGAAGGAGGCCTGAAGTCTGCTCCTCAGACAGTGATGGGACACTAGGTAGCAATCTCAGTCTGTCCAGAAGGTGGCTTGGTCAGGTTTGAACTCTGGCCCTGCTGCTCCTTACCTGAGTACTTGGGCAGATTACTTTGCCTCTCACTTGTAAAGTGGGCTTGTTCAGACTGACTGGCAGGGACTGTGGTAAGGATGTAGCTAGTTAGGCACTCTGCCAGCACTGGCACACAGAGCTGTTCCAAAGGATTCCTCTAGGTTTACAGAGAATTTGCTCCCACCTCCCCTGGCCCTTGTCCTTTCTGAGAACCTCCTTAAGTTCCTTCTGCCTTCAGCCAAGATGGAAGCCGTCTGGCTGCCTGGTACCTGTTGGGGGTTTACCATTCTCAGGCAAGTTTTGGGAGAAGAAGGCTGTATAGGCCCCTGGCCAGCCCTGACTGTCACTTCCCCTGCCTCCCCTACTCCAAGCCAGAGAATCTGCTCTACTACAGCCTAGATGAGGACTCCAAGATTATGATCTCGGACTTTGGCCTCTCCAAGATGGAAGATCCCGGCAGTGTGCTCTCCACAGCTTGTGGGACCCCCGGTTACGTGGGTGCGGAGGGCCCTGGGCTAAAGCTGTGGGCAGGGGAGGAACCAGGAGCTGCAGGCAGACATTTTTCACAACCCTGTCTGTTGTCCTCCCTAGCCCCTGAGGTGCTGGCCCAGAAACCTTACAGCAAAGCTGTGGACTGCTGGTCCATTGGGGTCATCGCCTACATCCTGTAAGTGGGGGCACGGCCACTGCAGGCTGTGGCTCCACAGTCGTCCTCCCCATGACCCTCTCTTCCTCCTCCTCCCTCTCATCCATAGCCTTATCTGCCTACTAATTACTAATATCATTCATTTACTAGATACTATGTTTCAGGCACTGTGTCAAGCACTGAGGACTTAGCAGAGAACAAGCCAGACCACATGCCTGCTTTGGGGAGCTCACACTGTAGTAGGGAAGCAGAAAATATAAAGTATGGTCAAGGGGTAAAAAGAATGCTGTGAAAAGAAAGGCAGCAGGAGTATGAAAAGGGTGTGGATACCATTTCTGATGAGGTCAGGGAGGGCTGTCTGTGGAGGGGACGTGTGAGTGGCCCCTTCAGAGACACTGAAATTTGGGGGAAGAAAGCATGAGGCAGAGGGAAGCGTGACTGAAGAGGCCCCCAAGGGTGTCAGAATGGTGGCAGTATCAAGGAGCAAAAGACCAGGATAAGCTGTGTGTGGTGGCGCCTGCTTGTATCCCAGCAGGATGATCACAAATTCAAGCCCAACCTGAGCAATTTAACAATTTAATGAGCACTATTTCTCAAAAAAAAAAAAAAAAAAAAAAGAAAAAAAAAAAGAAAATTATAAAAAAGGCTGAAGCCGTAGCTCAGCAAAGATCCTCTATTCTATCCCCAGTAGAGGAGGGGGGCCATGTAGCTGGGCAGGCAGAGGCAGCTTCTGCAAAGGGGCAGCCTCTTCCTTTGAGTCTGCCTCACTCCTGTCCTGCCCCCGAGCTCCAGCCTAGAGCCCAGGGTGCTGCTGAAGTGGAAATGAGGACCAGTTTCTCCTGCCCAGGCTCTGCGGCTACCCGCCGTTCTATGACGAGAATGATGCCAAACTCTTTGAACAGATTTTGAAGGCCGAGTACGAGTTTGACTCTCCTTACTGGGACGACATCTCTGACTCTGGTATTCTGGGATTCACCTTCTTTTTTTTCTTTTTGGTTCCGGGAATTGAACTCAGGACCTGGCACTTGCCAGGCAGCCGCTATGCCACTGTGCTGCATCCCTGGCCCCGTAGCTTCTTCTCTTGGGACCTGTTTGTGGTGCCTTCCTTATCTGCTCTGGTGTCTCCTCACCAGCCTCTTTCAGTCGATTCTCCAGCCCAACAGTAAGCTGAGATCAGACTGAGATCAGACTCCCATCTGCCTGGGTCCGGTCTGAGAAGTGTGTAGATATTCAGTCAGTCTTCAAACATAGTATTTTAAAAATATATCCCCCTACTGACTTCCTAATGCCTAAACCACCACCATAATAAACATCTTCATCCCTCCATATGTGTCCCCTACTCAGACGCAATCCTGTGAGGCATTATTAAGCATGGACACCCTGAGTAATCCTGACCATGTTTAAGAGGGAAAGGAAAGGCCTTCAAGTTGGGGTGGGGTAGGAGCTTTAGAGCAAGAGAACCGGGTTCTGCATGGGCAAATCTGGCCTCTGTCTTGCTGTGTACAGTAAAGCACTGTCTTGTGGGAGTGAGTACTATGTTGGGGTGTCCACAGGCACTGCCATGCTGTGTCTGTCCTTTTATCTTGGGGTTCAGCCAAAGATTTCATCCGGCACTTGATGGAGAAGGACCCAGAGAAGAGGTTCACCTGCGAGCAGGCCTTGCAGCACCCATGGTGAGAGCGCAGATGCACCGTGGGCTGGGGCGTGGCCTGAGCCCTGGCTAGCTGTATCCTCACAGGTACCCTGCATGCCCCCACCTCAGGATCGCAGGAGATACGGCTCTCGATAAGAATATCCATCAGTCCGTGAGTGAGCAGATCAAGAAGAACTTTGCCAAGAGCAAGTGGAAGGTGAGCCTATGGCCTTAGTCCTGGGTCCCAGCCTCCCTAAGGTCCCTCCCCACCCGCCATCAAGACTCAGCCTGCATAGCACCCAGCACCAAGCAGGGCAGAAGGAACTAGTCAGGGATGCTTTCTGGAGGACCTGATTTGCTCGTTCATTCGTTCATTCATTCATTCATTCATTCACTCCTGACACCAATTTTAGACTAGGTCCAAAACTTTCAAGTCTAAAGACAGAAGTCTGTTCTTTAGGAGGCCCCTGACATAGCTGACAGGGCAGAACTGTCTGCCAAATGGGAGTTTGCCAGGCAGAAGGAGCAGGAGTGCAAAGGTTGAGGGTAAGGGACAGTGTGGCCACTCAGAAAGTGCTGGTGGGAAGCCTGGCCAGGCAGGAGGTGCGAGGGCACTGAGCAGTAGCAGCCCAAGCTGGAGAGGCCAGGCCAGCTCCGGCCAAGTGGTGCAGCCTTCAAAAACCACAATGGAGCCCCAATTTGATGCTGCAGTGCTGAGTCCCAGGAGAATTTGAAGCAGGAATTCACCCTTCAGAAGGGGCTCCTATGGTGCAGAGAGTGGCACAGAGTGAACCCTGGGAGATCCTGGAAGGGTCTGTGGCAGAGACAGGCAGGATGCTGAGGGCTCCCAGGGCAGCAGCAAGAGAGACCACGGGCTGAGAAAAGGAGTCCCTTAGCAAGTAGAATCAAGAGGACAGGCTGAAATGGATGTGAGGGAGGAAGGAAGGGGCTGTTTAGGGACGGAGTAGACAGCAGGACATCACTGGGTTACCCCAGGGACAGAAACATGTCTGGAAGGGATGACTTTAGTTTTGAATATGGTGAATTTGACCCTAGGAATAAACAATAGAAAATAATACATGCACAATTACATCTATGGAGGTAAGTTACTTAACATTTCTGCAGGTCAGTTTCCTCCTTTGAAATTCATAATAGTAGCGCTTGCCTCAGAGTTTTGTGAGGATTAAATGAACAGGAGAAGTACTGAGCACAGCGCCGGACACAATGCCATGCAGTGCTTGCTGCCACATATTAATGTGAATTGTGGTCCTGTCTGTGTGTACATTTTACGTATACATGTGTGCATACGTAAACACGGCATAGAACTGAACTTAATAGAGCCACGTAGAAGTTTCAGGGATCTTAGTAGCATCATTGTGTAACCCTGAATGAAGAGAACAGGACCCTGCTGCCCAGTCTGGTCCTACAGGCTTTCCCATTCTCAGGAGTCCCTCTTCCCCCAGCAAGCCTTCAATGCCACAGCTGTGGTGCGACACATGCGGAAGCTGCAGCTGGGCACCAGCCAAGAGGGGCAGGGACAGCCGGCAAGCCATGGAGAGCTGCTGACGCCCCCGGCCGGAGGTGAGGACCATGTTCTGTGGAGGGGTGGTCTGTGAAGAGGTCCAGGCCAGAAGAGGCAGTTAGCCACAGCCAGCTCTTTGTACCCTGTGCAGGACTGGCGGCAGGCTACTGCTGTCGAGACTGCTGCGTGGAGCCAGGCCCAGAGCTGTCCCCCACACTGCCACCCCAGCTCTAGGCCCCTGAAAGGCTGGGGCAGCCTGCTCCCCTTCCCTCCCTGATCTGGGGAGCCACCCTGCCCCATGCCCTCCTCACCCCCTCCTCTCACTCATCACCACATTTTCCATACAAATGCTTCTATTTTATTGTTCCTTCTTGTAATAAAGGGAAGAAGATAAAGCCACGCACAGTTCTGCTTTCCCAGAATCTCCCACCCCACCCTGTGCAAACCGACTGCTTGATTTTGGGGTGCCTGGCCCCTGAGGTAGTTGCAGGGATCCCTTCCCAACATGAGACAGGGTGGGGCAGGGGATGAGGTAATGGCTAGTGGGGAAGTCATTTGGGGAATTTCTTTGTCCAGGGCCCCCACCTATACTCTTGGCTCTTTGGACTTCTTTCTGAGCTTCGCTGGGGGCTCCTGAGCCTGGTGAGACTGCCGTAGGTCAGCACAGAACAGCACCTGTGGGAGAGGTAGAAGTCTGGGGAGGAGGGTACCAGGGTCAGGGCTGTTGTATCTGGTGACACTATGGGGAGGTGGCAGAGCTGCAAGGGTCAGGGCTGGGGAAGGCCAGAAAGGCCTTTAGGGTCACTAGGGAATGGGAGGGCCCATGGATCCTTTGAGGTCTGGGCTGGAGACCAGGGGAAACCTGGGCACACTCACTGCTTGGGCCCAGCCAGCATAAGGTCCCCACAGGCACCGGAAGAAGTTCCCTGAATCAGAAGCAAGGTGGCTATGTGAAATGACCCCACCTGTCCCATTCACAGGGCAGGAGGGAGAGGGAAATTTCTCATCTCTGCCCAGTGCCTAATACCCACTTCTTACCCAGTTCCTTATTGGCCTGGGGACTTGGACCCTTGGCCCAGGATGTGCTGGGGTGCCAGTTGTAGTCACGCTGGGCAATCTGCCACATGTGGGTGTCCACAGGCACAGCCTCTGGCTTGTCTAGAGCCATTAGGCAGATGCAGTCAGCCACCTTGGAGAGACAGATGTGCACAGTAGAGGGATGGCAGGGCCCAAAGCCAGCCCAGGCTTCTTTACTGAGCTTACCACTGCTCTGTACTCTTAAGCAATATACATCACACTTTATGCTCAGGATGCGCTAAGAAGAGCTGCTGCTGAACTTGCCCAGCTGTGGACCACTGGGTCTCATAATTTGGGACAGCAGACAAGAAAATGGAGGCCTGAAAGGTGAAGTGATTTGGCCCAAGTGACATTTCTGGGAACAGGCAGTACCAAGATTTAATGTTAGGTCTGCATCCAGAGTCTTTTTTTTCTGTGTGTGTGTGTGGCAAAACTGGGGATTGAACTCAGGCCTTTGTGCTTGCCAGGCAAGCACTTATTCTATTGAGCCATCTCCCCAGCCCTTGCATCCAGAGTCTTAACAAAAACTCTAAATGAAAATTCACTTTTTATAACTCAGTGGACTAAACTCCTGCTTAGGTAAGCATAGGGACTGGGGTTTGATCCCCAGCACCACATGCCTTCCTGGCCCTGCCCCCAGCACGCTGAGCCAGCCATGGAGATGGGAGGCTGGAAACAGGAAGATCACTATGAGT